TTATTCTTCAGAACTCGGACTTCCATCTGTTGTTGCATTCATGTAATGCTCCGATTCGAGTTGGTACGTTGACTCTTGAGCTCGACGTCTTGCCAAGAGCCAATCTTGGTTGCAAACAAGTGTTTCAAGAGATTCAGCGCTAAGACAACTTCGAAAGTCGGTTAGAATGTTGCCGCCAGCACTGAATTCTCGTTCAACTTCTACGGTTGATACGGGAACGGATAACACTTGTCTTGCTAACATGCCGAGACATGGGAACATGTGTTCGTTCCGCTTCCACCATCCGAGCACGTCAAAATCCACTTCGTCTTCATCGTAATCGCATGGCACACCCTGGTACATACCGAGTTCGTTGTGCGAGCTTACTGTTGTACCACTTGAACTCGTCGAAGAATGAGCACGCTTCCCTTTCTTTGCAAGAAGCCCACCGACTATTCCGGCAAAACTTTTTTTTGATTTCGGGGGCGGAGGTGGTGCTGTTTCTTCTTGTACAGTGCCGTATAACCCTTGATATTCCTCAAACAAATTCTCAAAAAAAGTTATAGCATTATCTCTTTCTTTTTTCCATTCTACTAAATAAGAGTAGTAATAACTATTTTCATCTAAAAAACACTTGTAGTAATAATCAATTAAAATTTTATAATTTTCAATTTTAAAGCGTGGATCACAAATAATACCTATTTTATAAATATCAGGAATGTACAAATAATAAGAACACCATTTTTGTACCATAGGAGAGACATATGGGTACAAATCTGGATCAGCCTTACTTTCACGAAAACATGTTGCGATTGTAACGCACTCTTTCAAAAATGTAATTGTAGTTGGTTGGTAAACATGAGAAAAAGTAAGAGTTGCGTTATTAAAAAACTTCTAATACGTCATTCAATTTTTCAACAAGTACAAATTCAAAAGGATCAATGATTATACGAAGTTCATCACTAAAAATTCAGCAAGTTCCTCTTTATATTTTAGAATCTGATGAATCAATTTGTATGTACTATTCCATCTAATGTAGATATCTTTTGCAAAAACTATTTCTTTTCTACCTTTAGACTTACAGAAAATCTTCCATTTTTTCGAAACAAGACGAGCCCCCCAAATTCTTTTAATTCCTTCTTTAATATTCGTCAAAACTCCGCCCATAGCTTCTAGTCCATGTTGAACACATAAATTTAAAACATGACAGGCACACCGTTGATGCAGAAATCTACCCATAGCCGTAGACGGTGGGCAAATTTCTCTAAGTCTAGGAATGGCTGCAGTATTATTAGTAGCATTATCAAAACCAAATGAAAACACTTTGTCACATAAGTTGTATTCCCGCAGAATACTCTGAAGCAATAGGAAAATATTTTCAGCAGTATG